AGCAGAGGCTCTTGATCCCAGGAAGCCAGGCCATGTCAGGAGGCAGCCCAGAAGGCTCCAGATTTTTACCATCCTACCCCAACACAGTCCCCCTGCTCTCTCGGGTTGTTTCCAGCCCTGGCCACCCTTGGCATAGATCCACCAAGGGGACTCACTAGGGCTGACCCCAGTGATGACAGCTCAAGTGGGTGGGCTTTGGGCTTAATCGGGGTGGGAGGCAAGAGTGACAAGAGTGCTGCAGGGATTGTGCATAAGAGTTCTGAGGAGGAAACCGGCAGGGCTCAGCTAGGTGGGACCCTGGGCCATCTGTCTACCCATCTATGGCATAGGATAGTAATTGGCTGTGCTTAGTTAACTAAGAAATCAGGAAAGCTGAAATGAGTTCATTTAAGGTAGTACCTCTCACCCATATATCTTAAAAAGTCATTACTGAGGGAGTAATTGATATACATATCAATAAGATAACCAGAAGGCCAGGCTTTACATTCCTAGGAGAGGCACACATTTACATCTACTTAAAAACAAACAAAACATGATAGTGTGTTCCTAGGAGAGGCCAGACTTATATTCTCTGTTTAATTCTCTGAGTAAATTTCGTATTTTCTTTCATTTGTTATTCTTACTATTGTTAATTCTTCTCTCTTACGCTAAAGGTAAGACAAACCCAAAGAGACAAGAATGGGTCCATGGGTCACAGTTAGAAGAACACTATGCTATAACACTTTGGATGAACTGCCAACCATTCATGGCAGTGTTTTCCAGAATGTGGTTTGAGATCTGTTGTGTCAGAATAACGGGGTGTGGCAGTGTGGATTCCTGAGCCCCAGCCATCTCTATTGTCTTCTCTGTGGTGTTGAGGTCCAGGAAGCTCCGCTGTAGCCCCAGGTGATACTTACGCACACTGAATTTTAAGAACCACTGTCAGGAACTCCTGTTCTAGGAGCTGAGAAACTTATTATATCACAAAGCCATTAGGTCTCATCATTATTGACTTTGAATGATAGACAAGGGAACATTTAACTTAAGATTTTGACAGCACCAAACAGGACAGAGTGGCTTATGCCAAAACCCAGAAAACTCATTCAAAAATGACCTGCTCCAATAGATTAAATGCAACAGACTAAAGTCAAGTAACTTTGCAGAAAGACTGGTCTGTTTGGGTATTGCAGGAAGGCTCGAGATGAGTCATACATACACACCTATGATGATGCCTTTCATCCTAAACCTTTCATAATCCCAGCCAAAATTCAAGAGATGAGAGAAAACTGGAAGGGGGCTGGGTTGGGGAGTGTCTTTTGTTGCTTGCCTCCCATACCACCATCCCCACGTCAACCAGAGCACTGCTCAGAGTAGCACTCTGTGATTCAGCCTAGCATCCTTGATCTTAGAGGAAAGGAAGTGGTTAGTATCCATAGAGGAAGAAAGAGGATCGGGAGCAGATGAGAAGGTCTGAGTGGAAGGCATGAATAGGCAAAGAAAGACCATGGGAAACTATAACGAGAAAGGAAATCTAAGGGAAAAGCCACAGATGCTGGAAAAAATGAAAGGAAGACATAGGAATGAAAAGGATATGAAAGAAGCAACCATAGAACAGAAAATAGAGGGATTTATAGTATTTGTTATCATATAAACCCAGGGTCAATCTACCAAGAAGACAAGGAATCCTAAATATGCCTGAGCCAAACAACAGAACTGTGTAACATGCAAAGCAAAAATTGATAGAATTGAAAGGAAAAATAGACAAATCCCTGTGATTGCGAATCAAAGAATAAACAAGGTTGGAGAACAAGACACACTTACCACTCTTATTCAAAATAGGGGTAGAGCCGGGCTCGGTGGCTCAGCCTGTAATCCTGAGCCTTGGGAGACTGAGTGAGTGAATTACCTGAGCCGGTGGGTTCGAGACCCACTTGGACAACTTGGTGAGACCTCAATTCAACAATAAATCAAAAAATCAGCCGGGCATGGTAGCACGCGCCTGTAGTTCCAGCTACTTGGAAGGCTGAGGCGGAAGGATCACCGGAGCCCAGCAGGTCGAGCCCAGGAGCGGCCACTACACTCCAGTCTGGGTGACAGAGTGAGAAACAAAAACAAAACAAAAACAACAACAAAAGAAATAGGGGTAGAAGTTTTTGCCAGTGCAATAAGGAAACATAAGGAAATAAAAAGGCATACAGATCAAAAAGGAAAAAATTATCTGCAGATGACAAGATTGACTACATAGAAAAATTCCAAGGAATCTACAAAAAACAAAACAAACAAAAACCACAAAATTTCTTACACTTAATACGTGAGTTCTGCAGGATTGCAAGATATAAGACAAATATTTTAAAAATCAATTGTATATCTATATACTTGCAATAAACACATAGATGCTAAAATTAAAAACAATATTATTTACAGTAGCTGAAATAATTTGAAACTTAGGTATAAATCTAACAAAACTTGTACAAGACTTGTATGCTGAAAACTATGCAGTGCTAATGAAAGAAACCAGAGAAGATCAAATAAATGGAGAGACATACCATGTTCATCAATTAGAAGCCTCAACATAGTAAATGTGTCATTCTCCCAGGTTGATATACAGATATAATGCAATTTGTACCAGAACCCTAGTAAGAATTTTTGGTAAGTATTCTGAAATGTATATGGAAATGCTGAAGAATCACTATAGCTAAAGCAATTTTGAAAAAGAAAAATAAAGTGGGAAGAAGTAGTCTACTTGATTTTAAGACCTATTTAACTACTGTGATCATGACCTTGTGATATTGGCAGAGGAACAGACTCATAGATCAATGGCACAAAATAGAGAAACTATAAATAGACCCATACAAATATGCAATCTGATTTTTTACAAAAGCTCAAAATCAATTTAGTGGATGAAAAATGTCAAAGTGGCCTTTTCAACAAATGTTGCTGAGACAAATGGAAAAAGTGATCAATTGAACTTTATTAAATTAAAAACCTTTGTTCTGTGAAACATCCCATTAAAAAGATGAAATGATTCAAATATTGAATGTTCCCCAAACAAAGAAATAATAAACATTTGAGATGATGATATGTTAATTCGCCTGATCTGATCCCTATACTTTCATTATTTGTATCAACACATCACTATGTACTCTATGAATATGTAAAATTATTATTTGTCAATTAAAAAAAGATGAAATGGCAAGCTACAGAGTGGGAGAAAATATTTATAAACCACATATCTTTAAAAAAAAAGGCTAGGGTCAAAGAACTCTCGAAACAACAATCAAAAGACAATCCAATTAGAAAATGAGCAAAAGGTATGAACAGGCATTCCATAGAAGAGAACATACATATGACAAGTAAGCACACAAAAATGTTCAACATCATTAGCCATTAGGAAAATACAAATTAAAACCACAATGAAATATCACTACACACCTGTCAGAATGATTAAAATGAAAAATAATTAGGCTGACAAGGATGTGGAGAAACTCAATCACTCATTCCTTGCTTGTGGGAGTATAAAATAATATAGCCATTCTGGAAAACACTGTCATTTTCTTTTAAAAAACTAAACATGCAACTACCATGCAATCTGACAATTGTACTCCTAGGCATTTATCCCAGAGAAATTAAGAAAAATATTTAACCCAAATACCAATACACAAATGTTTATAGATGTTCTATACATAATAGCCACTAACTGGAAACAACCCAGATGTCCTTCAATGGATGAATGATTAAACAAAATGTGACACATCCATAACATGGAATTCTATTTGGCAATAAAAAGAAACAACCTATTGTTACATACAAAAATCTGGATGAGTCTTTAGATAATTATGCTGAGCGAAAAAAGTCAATTCCAAAGTTTACAGACTATATAATTTTTGAAATGACAAAATTATAGAAATGGAGTACTAAGAAATTAGTGGTTGCCCTGGGCTAAAGAGAGAATGGAGGTAGGAACCAGTGGGTGTGGCTCTAAAGAACAACAGATGGATCCTGTATTGATGGAAAATGTTTTATATTTTAACTGCATCAATGTCAATCATCAGTGTGTGATACTGTACCTCAGTTTTGTAAGCTGTTACTATTGCGGGACACAATAAAATGTATAAGAGATCTCTCTGTATTATTTCTTACAACTGCATGCTAACCTGCAATTATGTTTTTAAGTTTAACTACAAAAAAAATAGTATTAGTATTTCATGATGTATCTGGTAGCTTCTCCCTTCTATTTCAAGCCCTCATGCAACCAGATGGCAAGAAAGAGATCTCAGTCAATTGAGGGTCTCCCTGCTTGCTCATATCCAAGTTTCAGGAAGCTTAACATGATGTCAGTCTTGTGCTTGGTGCCATCATGTATGCCGGTGTCTAGCCAGAGTAGTTTTCGGCCATCTGTCTATCTAGGCCACTGCTACATCCTCCTCACCTTTAGACTGATGGTTACTTCCCCGCCCTACTCCTAGGTACTCAACTAGTTCTTTCTCTCTATGTACTGCAGGAAAGCTTGAGAGGCCATCTCAGATCCATTCACCAGATATAACCAACGGACTTTCCTACTTCACAAGCCCAGGGAGCGGGGAAACTCAAAGGCTATGCTTGGATATTGGTGGCACAGGCCTCCTTTATTCTAAGGTCTTCTTGTGCCTCACCGCATCCCAGATTCATCTGGCAGCAGGGGAAGGGCTTGGGGATTTTGTCAGGGATCCATGCTTCTGTCCTGTCTTTTCATTCCCAATTCAAATTTTATCTACTCCGAGGGCAGAAAATGGTACGTGACAGTGGATATGTTCTTCCCAGTCATACATCTTAGATCTGTTCATCAGATTTTTCTCCCCTTGGTTCTCAGCATTCTTCTTAGGGGATACATAGAATCTCTTTGCTGCTTCTTGAATTGGTTACATAGTAACAGAAAGTACGGAAGAAAATCCTCTTGTCAATACATCAAAAATACGAATCCTGTGATATTTTCTACCATGTTTCAGCCTTTAGCCCACTTGTCCTTCTGTTTGCCCTTTCAGCTTGTGGCCCAGGTCCTCGAACATAAAGATATAGGCTTTGTGATGGTGGATGCCAAGAAAGAAGCCAAGCTTGCCAAGAAACTGGGTAAGTGTGGTTTTTGAGATACCGTATATTGGGAAGAAATGAATGTTCTAGCAAAAAAAAAAAAAAAAAAAGACAGTTGCATTTATTCTTGCATGGTAACTAGACTATTTTAAAATAAATATAAAATGATCCTACATACCTTAGTCTCAAATTGGAGAAGAGTTTCATAAAAGTAAATATAGGCCTGAATTAAATAGTTTCACATTAATCCCGTAAAATATTTTTGTATCTTACATGAAGAGGGTCTCTTCCTGGAGAAACTGATGCTAAAGATGGAAGCTTTTATTTTCAGCTCCTAAGACAAGCTAAAGGCCAGTTTCTATGATCTCACCACTGTTGTGATCTCTCTGAGGGTTAAAATCTCTTCTTCCATCTTCTGTGATTTCCTTGCCTCTTGGCTGAAGTAGCCAACAAAAAGCAGCATGAATAGTCGTGACTCCAGGTTCCCAGAGGTTTCTAAATTTAAGGCCAAACACCAGCTGGGCATTATCACCAAGGCTGAGAGGGAGGGTTTAGGTGAGGTATGGTTACGTGACTACACAGTAGAAGTTGTAATCTCTCATGTCAATACGTCACGCTTAAGCGCAGTGCCCTTTAAGATTCATACCCCTGTAATCCTAGGGAGAGACAATATCGGTAATTCCTCTGGTTTCCAAACATTCACACACATGTACTGCCCATTTGGTTTTTTCTGCATGACCAGTGAAGACTAGCTATTTAAAAAAATAGCAGGGGGTTATAAAACAGGACCTTTGAAGAAAGGTTAATTGGATTTGGAGTAGTAAGCACAGAAAAAGAAAAAAAAAAAGATTAGTGGTGGTTCAATAAATACCTTCAGGTACATAAAAGTCCATTATCCTAGAAAATTACAAACAACTGTTTTCTATTTTATTTTCAAGACCAGCCTTTTCAAAAAAGATTTAAATTGTAGGAGACTATTTAGGCACAAGAAAGAACTCATGACTGTAAAGTGATAGTGAATTATTAAGACTGTCTGGGATATCTCTTTCCCGGGAGACATGTTAAGGAATATATTGCTGTTTTTTCCCCCTTGAGCATGGGAACAAAATATGTTTAACTCTTTCCCTGGAGTCAAAAACAATGTAATGGGTTCTCCTTCCTCCCACAGCAGCCTGTTGATTTCTTAGTCTTCTCCCTCCCCATTATTTTGATGAGAAGTTGAATTTGGGAGAATTTGTAGTAAATTTAATCAGAGGAGACTAAACAGTGCCCTAGTAATCTAAGAATCTAGGGAGGACAAACTGGACAGGCATTTGTAAAAGTGAACTTAAGGGGACTTGGTGCAACCTTTTCTTCAAGCTCAGCTTGGAGGAACAGGGGCAGGTTCCTTCTGGCTATTTGATCCTGGGGTTTTTCAGGACAGTGCTTGCATTTGGTGAACCTGCTTCTTCACCTTCACCCTCATTCCACTCCCGTTTGCCTTAGTGTGACCTCCGTCAGTCTGTGCCTGAACTAGTACAAGAGCCCTGTAACTGTTTTGCTCAAGGCAAATCCAACAGCAGGACGCTGGCTGATGTTCCCCTTGGCATCTTTTGAGATCCGCCATTGCCAGCTCCAGGAATACCTGGCACATTGCTCCTTTCCGTTAACTAACCGCGCTCCCCAGTGGACCGGGGGCTTCTCAGACATGCCTTGGGACACAGCTGGCAGCAGTCTAGCCTTCTTGCCCCTGGAAGTTCTGCAGAAGAGTTCATCTGGAGACAGCGTGCTCCAGTTAAGAGGGAGTTTTCAAACAATCAATCTAAGGAATTAAGGATGCCTCGCAGTTGGACTAAATGCCGCCCTCTGTTATTTATCATTTCTGGGGGAAATGCAACTTTCCAGCAAGCTCTTGTGAACATCACACTAAGGGTAGAAAAGAAGAAGACGCAGCACCTGCCCTTGCCGCTTCCACCAGCTAACTAGGTGGGATTCATCCGGGACAGGAAATAAGCTGTCTCTTCTGACCACACACATTTCTGGGGTGCCGATATGTCCAGGCTCTGTGCAAGGCATTGGGGATACCAAGAAGACAATGATCCTGCCCTCAGACAGCTCACCTTGACAGTGAGGAATTGTCCATGGAGCTGAGGAAAGATCAATAACGGCATGAACCCTGTGAGACTGGAGTGATCCTCATAGGGAAAATGAATCCTAAGTTGAAACCGATGAAGCTAGCCAAGATGGAAGTCACTTCAGGTTTGCGGAACAAGGAGAACATAAGAGCAGAGATTCTGTGACTTTTCCTTTACACAGCCTTTCATAACAGCATGTGGGTGAGATGTAAAGGGAGCTCCTCAAGGGGACTAGAGAGTGGTTCTCAAAGGAGTGCAGGTCTACTCAAAGAAGAAGGAAGAGATACGGTTGGCACCAGACTATGGAGGGACCTAATTGCCAGGCTAAGGGTCAGGTGGGAAGTGGCCAGTAAAATTTTTGCTGGGGAGAATGACATGGGTCGGAAATATTTTTTGGAAAACTAAAGCAGTGGTCTGTAGAGAATAGATACTTCTCTTCCGTTAAAATCCAAGTGGAATTGTTCATTCTTGTCTATTTCAAATTAAATGCCCACTCTAGGAGCTCATCAGAGGTATTGTTTCAAGGGACCCAATCCTTAGGTTAATGCTAGTTCTAATCCTGACCCCTCTAGCACACAGGACCCTGTTCCAGACCCCAGTCAACACGATGGCTCTTTCTGCATCACAGTGACCTTGTCCTTGGGCCTCTCTGTTTCTTCCAGGTTTTGATGAAGAAGGAAGCCTGTATGTTCTTAAGGGTGATCGCACAATTGAGTTTGATGGCGAGTTTGCGGCCGATGTCTTGGTGGAGTTTCTCTTGGATGTAAGCATTTCTGCAAAGTGGTCCTTCCTGGAGCTGTCTGGGCTCACCCTAACCCTTGGCTTTGCACCATTGCTGCTGAAAAGAAGCAGGGGAATGTGAGGAGAGAGGGTCATCCAGCCACCTGAAGAGAGAGGAGGGACAGGAGTGCCAGTCAGCCAAGTCCCCCTGAGTTCCCCTCAAAGCCACATAAAGAAAAGGTGGAGCCAGGCTCGGTGGCTCAGCCTGTCATCCCGCGCCTTTGGGAGGCTGAGGTGAGTGGATTGCCTGAGCCCGCGG